TGTATATTTTATGTGGTAATTTTTTTTTTTTCATACTTTTGGGTGTCTTGAATGGATTAATTTGACTTCCATTATTTCTCAAGGGGAAAATTAATTTGCCTTACGATAATTTCATCTTACAATGTGCTCTCAGGAACGGATTAATATTGTAAGTCGGGAGTCCACTGTATTAGTGGAATGCCATAAGGCAAAATTCTGTAAAGTGGGGGCCCTACTGTATTACCATATACAGTGGACCCTCGGGTAATGACGTCATCTGCTAACGAAAAAATCGGGTAACAACACGTTTTTGTGTCAAAATATTAGCTCGGCTAAGAACATTCATCATGAACGTGTCTGCATGGCCTGAGTGGCCTGGCCACTCCATGACTCCATGTACAGCCAATGTACCATTGTTTACAAGTGAGGACAATTCCACGCATACATGCAATATATTTTGTATTATTCCATTGTTTTTAGTGCTTGTAACTGCTAAATAAGTGACCATGGACCCAAAGAAAGCTTGGGAGGGAGTGACTTCCCAGACTTTGAACTCTGCTTGGAGAAAACTGTGGCTAGAATGTGTACAAGAGAGGAATTTTGAAGGGTTTGGGCTAACCCTGAGGAGCCTATGCCAGTTGTAGAATCTATTGTGGCATTGGGGAAGTCCATGGGGTTGGAGATTAGTGGAAAGGATGTAGAAGAGTTGGTGGAGGATGACGATGAAGAGCTAACCACTACAGAGCTGCAAGAGCTTGAGGTGCAACAGCAACAGATCACAGCTCAGGAATTTCCTTCAGAGATGGAGGAAGTTGCCTTTGTCAAAGATTAAGGACATTTGTGCAAAGTGGGTTGAAGTGCGAACCTTTATGGATGAACATTACCCTAACACAACTGTTGCAGGCTGTATTGGCAACATTTTAGGGAAATCTTAAAAAGACACTAGAAACAGAGCTCTCTGGACAGATTTTTTTGGTGCGACAGGGGTCCAGTGACTCAAGCTGGTCCTTGTGCCATTAAAAAACAAAGGTAACCCCAGAAAAGGACTTGGTACCTGAAGTCTTCATGGAAGGGGATTCCCCTTCAAAACAATCATAAACTCCTCCATCCTCTGCCTTCCTCCCATCTCATCATTCATCAATAAGTCCTCAATAAAGGTAAGTGTCATTGCAGTATTGTTTATTCTGCATGTCTCATTGTTTTCTGTGTAGAGAAATGTATATTTCATGTAAAAAAATTATTTTGTTTAATACTTTTGGGTGTCTGGAACGGATTAGAGTAATTGGATATCCACTATTTCTTATGGGAAAATTAATTTGGCTAACAAAAAAATCGGTTAAAGAAAAGCTCTCTGGAATGGATTAATGTCATTACCCGAGGGTCTACTGTACTAGTATGTATCACTGTTTGAAACCCCTTAAACACACAACAATTTTATTTTTGTCTTTTTATAACTAATAATGTTCTCTTAATATCAGGATCATTTGAGGTAAAAGTATTATTTCCATGTTGTATGATGGTAAACAGGCAAGTTTACCTACTGATACTAACTATAATTCATCAGACTCAATGTGTTGCCTGGTTTACCTTAGTGTACTGGCGCTAAGAGTCAACAATTTTTTTTTATTTTTGATAATTTCTAATACATATTAGTGAAAAATAGTTTACACAATTCATTATGAAAATTAAATTTAATGTTTTATAAATAAAATGTGTTAATATGCAAAGTCTTGTGTGTCTTGTAATAACAAAATTTATTGTTTATGATCACCCAGAGATCATGTATATAAATATAAATAAGTTATTGTCATATTAGTCTTAAGAAAGTCTTAAGTTTGTCAGAAATGTTCTGCAGAACAATGGTCTTTCTGCATGAACACCTAAATGCCACGCATCTCTGTACAAACACTGCATCATGCTTAAATAAAGATTATGATAATAATTATGATAACATGAGATTAGTTTACTGTCAAGTATTGAAGCACTTCTCTACGCTCAGCTTGACGATTATGAACAACTTAATCTTTGGCCACCAAGACACTAGCTTAATTTTCTACACTTATTTTGGGGAAAAAATTACATCAACACTGTAAAATACCATAATTTTCCCAACACATAAACAGAGGAAATGGCATTATGAAGAGTGACCTGAAAAATGTTGCTATCTGTAAAAGGTGACACTCTATCTCAATAAAAGTTTTGCTCTGCATTGCTGTGTGTTACAACTGCATATTTTTTTAACACTAGCTTCTCCTACCAGGGCAAGCTAACCCAAAAAGAAGAAACATGTTCACCATCACTCACTTCATTGCTGTTTTGTCAGAGGCTCACCAATAATATAGTTCAAAACTGAAAATATCTCAGCCCCTCCATCAGGGTGCAGTCAATGTACCATAAACCTCCAGGACTCAAGTCTGGCTAACCACATACATTTCATACAAAGATGAGAGAAGCAGTGCATTCTTGTCAACCATAGCACCTCTGGTATTGATAACCTTAACAAGACAACACAGGCTTCAAAGAACTCAATTCCTCACATTTGAACAATAGAAACAGAAACAAAAAGACTATATAGATATAATTAAAGTTTGTTAAGTTCTACCATTGTTGTGGGAATATTTATAATAAATACTGTTAAAAGAATGAACAATCTTAGATTTATAGTATTGACACCAGTGTTCTCTTACTTCACTTATTTCACTACTGTTGTTCACTGAATATTTCACTGTTGTTCACTGAATATTTCACTACTGTTGTTCACTGAATATTTCACTACTGTTATTCACTGAATATTTCAGTGCAGAATTCTTGGTTACTGAAGTACACAGATTACAGACTTGACCATACAGTATTTTTCATATGTATTTATTGATTATACTGTATATTAACTCTCATGAGAACACAAGATTTATCTTTTTATAAAATATATAAGATATTCTGAACATTAATTCAACTTATCTCCTATATGAACTCATGATTTATATGACTTACATTTCATTAACATATTTCACTCACAACACTGTTATGGTATATCCCTTTCATATATTCTGATGAGTTTATAACAAATATTTCTGAAACATTAAACACTAACGTGTTTTATCTCTTGAATGAACTTGTGTATGTTTCACGAGATTGCTTTTTTGATTAAAACATTTCAGACACTCAAAACATTGACATGGAGCCTTCAAAAAATTCTACTTCAATAACAAGAACATAAAGTGGGACCAAGTAAACCAAGTCCTAAATGATATAAGCTGGGAAGATAGACTTAGCAACACAGACCCCAACTTATGCCTAGAGCAGATTAACTAGGTGGCACTCGATGTATGCTCAAGGCTTATTCCTTTAAGAAAAAGGAGGGGTAGATGGAAAATAGAAAGAGACAGGTGCTCCCTTTACAGGCGATGGAAAAGAATAACAGAGCAGCTAAACGAGGCCAATATGTCTGAAATACGTAGGGAGTCGCTAAAGGAATCTTATAGGAGTCAGGAATCGTGGGAAGAACTAAAAGCCATAAATGAAATCGAAAGAAACCCAAAGTATTTCTTTTCTTATGCCATATCAAAGTCGAGAACATCCAGTATTAGGCCCCTACTTAAACAAGATGGGTCCTACACAGATGACAGCAAGGAAATGAATGAACTACTTAAGTCCCAATATGACTCAGTTTTTAGCAAGCCTCTAACCAGACTGAGAGTCGAAGATCAAAATAAATTTTTTATGAGAGAGCCACAGAATTTGGTAAACACAAGCCTATCTGATGTTATCCTGATGCCAAATGGCTTCGAACAGGTGATAAATGACATGCCCATGCACTCTGCCCCAGGGCCAGACTTGTGGAACTCCATGTTCATCAAGAACTGCAAGAAGCCCCTATCACGAGCTTTTACCATCGGAGAGGGAGCATGGACACTGGGGTCATCCCACAGTTACTAAAAACAACAGACATAGCCCCACTCCACAAAGGGGGTAGTAAAGCAATAGCAAAGAACTACAGACCGATAGCACTAACATCCCATATCATAAAAATCTTTGAAAGGGTCCTAAGAAGCAAGATCACTTCCCATCTAGATACCCATCAGTTACACAACCCAGGGCAACATGGGTTTGGAGCAGGTCACTCCTGTCTGTCCCAACTACTGGATCACTACGACAAGGTACTAGATTCACTAGAAGACAAAAAGAATGCAGATATAATATATATAGGCTTTGCAAAAGCCTTCGAGAAGTGTGACCATGGCGTAATAGGGCACAAAATGCGTGCTAAAGGAATAACAGGAAAAGTTGGTAGATGGATCTATAATTTCCTCACAAACAGAACACAAAGAGTAGTAGTCAACAGAGTAAAGTCTAAGGTGGCTATGGTGAAATGCTCTGTTCCACAAGGCACAGTACTCACTCCCATCTTGTTTCTCATCCTCATATCTGACATAGACAAGGATGTCAGCCACAGCACCATGTATTCCTTTGCAGATGACACCCGAATCTGCATGACAGTGTCTTCCATTGCAGACACTGCAAGGCTCCAGGCGGACATCAACCAAATCTTTCAATGGGCTGCAAAAAACAATATGAAGTTCAACGATGAGAAATTTCAATTACCCTGATATGGTAAACATGAGGAAATTAAAACTTCAACAGAGTACAAAACAAATTCCGACCACAAAATAGAGCAAAAAATCAACGTCAAAGACCTAGGAGTGATCATGTCGGAGGATCTCACCTTCAAGGATCATAACATTGTATCAATCGCATCTGCTAGAAAAATGACAGGATGGATAATGAGAACCTTCAAAACTAGGGAGGCCAAGCCCATGATGACACTTGAAAAGTAAAAGGACACAAGTGCAACTAATGTGACATTTATAGTGGCAACGTTTCGCTCTCCAGGAGCTTTATCAAGTAATGGCTTGATAAAGCTCCTGGAGAGCGAAACGTTGCCACAATAAATGTCACATTAGTTGCACTTGTGTCCTTTTACTTTTCATATTGTCGGTAATTCTACCAACTTTATACATGATGACACTTATCAGGTTGCTTGTTCTATCTAGGCTGGAATATTGCTGCACACTAACAGCACCTTTTAAGGCAGGTGAAATTGCTGACCTAGAAAATGTACAGAGAACCTTCACGGCACACATAATGGAGATAAAACACCTCAATTACTGGGAGCGCTTGAAGTTCCTGAACCTGTACTCCCTGGAATGCAGGCGGGAGAGATACATGATTATATACACCTGAAAAATCCTAGAGGGACTAGTACCGAACTTGCACATGAAAATCACTCAAAACCCGAAAGCAAAAGACTCAGCAGATGATGCAACATCCCCCCAATGAAAAGTAGGGGTGTCATTAGCATGTAAAGAGACAATACAATAAGTGTCAGGGGCCCAAAACTGTTCAACTGTCTCCCAGCATACATAAGGGGGATTACTAATAGACCCCTGGCTGTCTTCAAGCAGGCACTGGACAAGCACCTAAAGTCAGTACCTGACCAGCCGGGCTGTGGCTCATATGTTGGATTGCGTGCAGCCAGCAGTAACAGCCTGGTTGATCAGGCTCTGATCCACCAGGTGGCCTGGTCACAGACTGGGCCGCGGGGGCGTTGAACCCCGGAAGTCTCTCCAGGTAAACTATAGGTAAGCTCTCATTTGTGTCACAAGATGGCTTTTCACATTAAAACATTTTAGACAGAACATTGATATGGTTTATCTCCTGTATGTACTCTCATATGTGTCACAAGACTCCTTTTTACACTGAAACATTTCAGACACTCAGAACACTGATATGGTTTATCTCCTGTATGTACTCTCATATGTGTCAGAAGATTGTTTTTTACACTAAAACACTTCAGACACTCAGAACATTGATATGGTTTATCTCCTGTATGTACTCTTATATGTGTCACAAGATTGCTTTTTACACTAAAACACTTCAGACACTCAGAACATTGGTATGGTTTATCTCCTGTATGTACTCTCATATGTGTCACAAGACTGCTTTTTACACTAAAACACTTCGGACACTCAGAACATTGGTATGGTTTATCTCCTGTATGTACTCTCATGTGTGTAACAAGACTGCTATTTTGACTAAAATATTTCAGACAGTCAGAACAGTGATATGGTTTATCACCTGTATGTACTCTCATGTGTGTCACAAGAATGCCTTTTTGAGTAAAACATTTCAAACACTCTGTGCACTGATATGGTTTATCTCCTGTTTGTACTCTCATATGTGACAGAAGTCTGCCTTTTACATTAAAACATTTCAGACACTCATTGCATTGATATGGTTTATCTCCTGTATGTACTCTCATGTGTGTCACAAGATGGCTTTTTCGACTAAAACATTTCAGACACTCAGAACATTGATATGGTTTATCTCCTGTATGCACTCTCACATGTTTCACAAGACTGCTTTTTTCACTAAAACATTTTAGACACTCAGAACACTGATATGGTTTATCTCCTGTATGTACTCTCACATGTGCCTCAAGATTACATTTTTTACTAAAACATTTCAAACACTCTGCACATTGATATGGTTTATCTCCTGTATGTACTCTCATATGTTTCACAAGACTGCTTTTTTCACTAAAACATTTCAGACACTCAGAACATTGATATGATTTATCTCCTGTATGCATTCTCATATGTTTCACAAGATGGCTTTTTTGACTAAAACATTTCAAACACTCAGAACATTCATATGGTTTATCTCCTGTATGTACTCTCGTATGTGACACAAGATGGCTTTTTTGACTAAAACATTTCAGACACTCAGAACATTCATATGGTTTATCTCCTGTATGTACTCTCGTATGTGACACAAGATGGCTTTTTTGACTAAAACATTTCAGACACTCAGAACATTCATATGGTTTATGTTCTTTATGTTTTTCCATATTTTTTAAATGAAGGTATTTCATTTAAAATATTTTAGTCATACAACAGTGGTATAGTTAATCTTCCTTATGTACACACATGTCTATTTCATGATTTTTTTAACAATTTTGGACACTGAACACATGGTTTTCCTTATGAACATATTCCCATGTTAAGATTTATTTAGGCAAAACTTTTCCTACTTATGAGCATTAATAAAGTTCATATTGTTTGTTAAAACACTATCATAATTTGTTTTGTGTTAAAACATTAATGTATGTACTAGAACACTGCAGATACACTCAACAATATTATTGTTATTATTATTATTATTATTATTTGCTCTTGTGTTTAAACAATTTTTTCTGTATTCTTTTATTGACCTCCAATCTGAAAATTCCCCACAGGGTCTTAGGAAATCATAGAGAACGTAATAATAATGTAATAAAATAAAAAGTACATAATTTTATAAAGAATTGATGAAGTTATACTCCTGCAAATTTCGCTGAGTCAGAAATATTTATGCATTAGCAATTTTGCCCACCTTGAGTCCTGATTTTGGCCAATTACATAGTTCCATTATACCAAATTCTTAGCTATTTCACTAGTATGTGTTCCATATTATCTATTAAGCACATAAAATTGGCCAATTCAACTATTTCAACTTCCCAATAAAGTGATTGGAAATTGGAAATATGGCCAATTTCACAGAAAATTCAAAATATTCCAATTTCAAAATAGGGTCCAGAATAATCAATGCAGTCAACCTGGTATTGGTAATATGGCCAATTTCACACAAAATTCAAAATATTCCAATTTCAAAATAGGGTCCAGAATAATCAGTACATGCAGCCGGGTTTTTAAACTAACATTTCAAAGTACATATTAAAACTTTTGTGGGTTTTTACAGATAAATTTTCTTTTTTATTTTTTAAATTCAAAAATTTTTTTTTATGCACACTAAAAAAAAAGAAAAGTTACTGTTTTTCCCATATTGTAAAAATTTGTATAAATAATATCAGTGAAATTCAGCAGCACTTTTTAAAAAAACCCACCAGCTGATGTGTACGGGGACACTAAGTGTTTTGTTTATCCTCAAAATATCAGCAAAAATAAAAATTTCTACTACTTTTGGGAAACTCAATTTAAAAGTTTTTTCTGTACTAAAACCCATCAAAGTCTTTCTGTAATAATCTTCATTCTGTCCAATAGACCAAGAAACAGTGAATGCTACTATACAAAACAAAAAAAATTTACACCATAAATTTGCTCTTTTAATAAAAAAAAAAAAAAACACATTTCCCCAAAATTTTTTTTCTTATTATGCACTGCCTGCTGCAGGCTTTGTTTTATATGGTGCCCATTTAACCACAGAGTTTTCATTCCCCTTCATTTTTAGGCCCAAAATTTACGGCTCACACCCTTATCTATAAGCTGAGCTCTTTTGGGCAGTCCCAAAAAATTGGACCCCCCGGTTTTAAAAGCCCAAAAAACTACAAAATGAACCCTAAAAAGAATTAACCCCAATGCTTTTTTTTAAAAATTCCCAATATCAAAACCCAAAATTTTTTTAATTTAAGTAAAAACTATTTTAAAAATTCACAAGAAGAACATTTTGTAGCCCTTTCCCTTGAAGTACTGAAAAAATAGTGTCCGGGCCCAAGAATAACTGGTAGCCCTTTCACAAAATACGCCCGCAGTATCAGTTCCCGGGTTCAAGAAAACTTACACTGGTGCTTTTGAAGTACTAAAAGATATAGTGTCTGGCAAGACCAGGTGGTATTTCCCCCAAAAAAATATTTTTTCCCCAATAGAAACACGGTCAGTACAGTATTTTTACGGGGGACCCCCGCAAAAACGTTTTACCTCCAAAATGTGAAAAATTATGTAAGTGTATTTAGAAAGTGCGTTTTTAACGTGTATTTTTGGGGGGGGCCCGAAATGGACAAATTACTTCACAATTTTTCCTTTAGGGGGAAAAAATTTGGGTTCAGTACTGGCCCCTTTAAAACATACTTCTGGAGTGAAAAAAAACTTTTAACCCGGGGGGCCCAAACTGTATTCCAAAATTTTCCCAACACAACAAAACTCAACAAAAAAAAATGTTTTCTCTTTTGGGTCACATGCCCCACTAAATAAAATTGTAACAAAAATTTTTAAATCTGTAAATTTTTCTTCAAAAAAAAAATTTCAAAATTTTGTGCATAATTTTTAAATTTTACTAATTTTGATAAAAAATTTGACTTCAACAAAAAACTTTTTAAATTTTTATTATTTTTCTTGGAGAAATAAAATATTAATTACCCCTCTCCTCTCTTTTTTTGATGTACTCTTTTACAAACACCTTGGACTTATGAGGGGCTCTCTGCCCAGTATGCATCCCTTAAATAATTTTTATATTAGGGGCTAAATTTTCCCTTTATTTTTTTTTATTAAAATATACAGTACACTCAAATATAAAGCATTTAAAAATATACCAAAAATGTAAAAAATGATGCAAAGGTTTGGACTTTTAAAAAAATTTTTTTCAAACAGGGTTGACAAAACCCCCACAAAATCTTTTATATTTTGCTCCTCACTTAGCGATAAATTTGTATACCGATGTGATCTTGGGAAAATGGAACCTGTTGTTGAGTGAGGGAAGCAGAAAATATAATCAAGGTGAAAAAACCTGAAAAGGTCATAAAACCCACTGAAAGGGTGAATTGTGCTAAAAGAAGGAAAATACAAAGGTAAAGAACTAGTGTTTGAGGAGTGGGGCAAGAGGTAGGGTTAGGAAAGGTTTTTTCCCCGGGCCTCAAACCTCTCTCAGGGTCAAAAGTTTTTTTCCCCCCCCAAATTTTTTTTTTTTTCTTACAAATGATAGAAATTTTTTTCCAAAAGTAATAAAACCCAAAAGAAAAAAAATTTAAAGGGGAAAATTTTTGGGAAATTTAAACGCTCCCCAAAAAAATTTAGTAATGCCATATTTCTTTTTCAGGATTTCCCCTCTTTTCACCCCTTAATTTTTTGGGCCCTTTCCCAGTTTTTCCAGTCGACCAAACTCAAAGTTATGACTTAAAAAACGGGCTTTCATTCATAAATTAAAGTACAAGAAACTGCCCATTTCCCCTATTTAAACCTACTCAGAAAAAGGGGATAGAAAATATTTTTTTTTCCAGTTTCACACGAAATTAAAAGAAAGACCTTTTCAAAATAGGGTCCAGGGAAAATAATGAAGACTTTCCCTGCACTAAAAAAAAAATTTCTCTGTTCATTAGCCCAACCTTTCCCCCGGGAAAATTCTTAATTAGGGCTTGCTTTTCATTTAAAATTTTTTATTCACAAAAAAAACCAAAGATTTTTTTTAATTCATAAAATTTGTATAATTATAAAAATTTTGGGGACTATTGGGGAAAACTTTTTTCCCAATTAACTAATAAATTTTCCCTTGGGAAATTTTAAACCCCCCTTTCAGGGTCCAAGGCCAAAATTTAAGTCACACAAAAAAGTGCCCCCAAGAAATTTTTTAAAAAAAAAAAATTTTAAAATTTTTTTTACAGAATTAAAAAAGCATTTTTTTGGGAAGGTAATAAAACAAAAAAAATTAGAATTGATCAGTATTTTAACCAATACAGGGGCCAAGAAGTTTGTAGAAATGATGTGGTGGCGGCAACATCGACGAATTCCCATCGCGAAATTATATTTTTTTGTTGTTTTGGGGTTTTTTTTTTCTTTTTTTTTTTTAAAATTTTTTTTCTATTCCTACAAACTTTTGGGGCCTGAAGACCAATACGGTATATAATTGAAAAATATTTATACTCACTGTTTTAAACACAATAACCGCACTAAAGTTATTATCATTTTTATTGTTTACCACTTTTTGTTTTTTTACAAAAAACATGCCCCAAATATTGTATAATACTAATTTTCCCTACATATACATTTGGGCCCCCCGGTTAAAATTTTTTTTTCTTTTCCAGTATTTATGTTAAAGGTCCCAGTACTGACCGTTTTTTTTTTCCCATAAGGAATATTTTTGAAGAAAGATTGGTCCATTTCAGACCCCCCAAACTTTACACTTTTAAAAAACGCACTTACATAAAAAACATTTAACAAAATTTGGGTCGCTTTTGGGGGTGATCGTTAAGCGGGGGTCCACTGTATTTACATATTTACAATCACTGGACATGGTTTTAGAACTGCGGGGCTTGGGGAAAACTCCTTGAAAAAAGGGCCCACCATGCACAGAGGCCCCTTTTCTTTCCTAAACAAAAACCGATTTTCTTTGCGTCTTTTTTTCCCCCATCTTTTTTGTTTGTGCACAGAAAATTGCACTCTTCTGGAGCAAATTTTTTTTGAGTTAAGGAAGCTTTTTATAAAAAGATCCCCCTTCTTTTCCCAAACGCTTGGGTATATTGTGATAAAATTCAAAGGCCCCTTTTTGTATTGCGGGTTTGTTGTTTTGGTACTTCATTATGATTTTGTCTGACAACAAAAAACCCAAAATTCACCATCGGTGGTCTGTTCCCGTTTTTTTTGGGGACTATTAATGCATTCAGCTTTTTGAAATGTCCTTTAATGGAAGAAAATTTTTCATGTACCACTTGTAACTTACAAACACAGTAAACCCAAAACCAACGGGCATTTTCACACTTGTAAACCAAGCGCAGGGTTTTGTGTAAATCAACCCACTGTCAGGGTTTTTTCGAATACGTTCTTTAGTCATCGACCCAACTTTGCCACTGCTTGAAATTTCTTTTCGGGAATGGTTTTTAAACAATGTGACTTCTCGTTTGTCAGCCAAGGAATGCCGAGGGTAAATTGGCGTAAACACCTGCACGCCCATCACCACGAACACCTGCTTTGAGCCGGGGCATATTTTTACGTTTAAAAAACGCACTGGCCACACTTTTTGGGTCTTGTTCATTTTCCGCATGAAACACTGAGTAAGGGGGCTTGGAAACCATTTTATCGGTAAATAAAGGAAAGGGGCCCTTTAAACCAAGATAAGGTGCCATCATGTTTCTCATTTAACGTCCCTTTGATTACCCAATAACATCTTGGTATCTTTAAAATTTTTTAAATACCCGTGTATACAAAAATTTATCCAAAAACCCGGGCCCCCTTTTCCAATCACAGAGTAAAAAAATTTTTATACCAAAGCGGTTCCTCTTGCCCCGGGAATACTGCTTGATGACAGTCTACCTTTGAACAAAAACAAAGACCGTCAATTACAAGATTCTTTAAAAAGGAAAAAAGTATATCCTGAACTTTTGTTTAGATACATTTAAAAAAATTTTTAATCTTGTATAAACCTTCACTTCTGGGCAAAGGGCCCGGTTTTTTCAGAGAATTTCAAAAATACTAACGTAAGATAAATGGGTTTACTGGTATTATTTTTACTGAAAAGGGTGGGGTACAAATTTTGCCGAAACTGGGGACCATAAAGCTTTTTTTTTATGCTTATGAAAGTAGGCCAAAAAGCATTATTTTTGCAAAAAGCAAAAAACATTTTGCAACATCGCTCTTTTCCACCCGTGTGTCTTTTTACTGTGGGATAAGTCGTATTTTTCCCCTGGGGTACTGAAAATACTTAATTTCTTTCCCCGACAATAATTTCCATCAAAGGGGTGGCCAAAAAAATAATTTCAAAAAAATTCCAGTTCATTTGGGGCCCTGGTTTCCAAGGGGACAGGTAGGAGAATTCCCCCTTTGGAAAAGTCATAAAAAAGGTGGGGGGCTGGGAACAAAAAAAGGGATTTTGCTGCCAATCCCCGAACGGTTTGCTGGTGGGAAATGGGGCATCAAGGCTGGTTGTAACCCGGGGGGTTGTGGTTTGGGGTGGTGGGTGACCCCTCCCCCTTTGTCCTTTTAAA